TTCAGAACTGGTGCCCTTAGTACTCACAGTAATTTGTTCGAGAGATTTGCCAGAGTAGTTAAGGTCAGCTGTTAATGATGATTTCTTATTCGTCTTTCTTTTCTTACTGCATCATCAGGCCATTGAAGTTATTTTCTGTTTTATTGTTTGGACTGTAGTCTTATGCTAATGCCATCATTAGCTCTTTCGAAGACCCAGAGAAGATCCTGGAGCAAACAGTGCTAGAAATGAACAACGATTTGATAAAATTGCGTCAAGCTACAGCACAGGTATGTTGTCTTTCGGCCTCACTTTCTTTCTATCTCAATTTGTTGAGTCTTCGATATGCTTTACTTGAATGGCTCAAGGAATAAATGACACACAATTGCCCACAAAAAAGTTCAGAGTCACTGCTTTATCTAATTAAGGTATATGGGTGTGAAGTATTTCAGTTAATTTCTTTTTGTCGCCTTAAAGGTCTTGGCTTCACAGAAGCAGATGGAAAACAGATACAAAGCTGCACAACAAGCATCTGAGGACTGGTAACAGCTGAGGAGGCTTGACTTGTTTTGTTATGCTCTTTTATAGCTGTGAGCTTATTCACTGTTTTTGTTACAGGTATCGTAGAGCGCAACTTGCTCTTGGAAAGGGAGACGAGGATCTTGCACGTGAAGCTCTCAAGCGAAGAAAATCTTATGCTGTAAAGCCTTTCTCTGTAAAAGAAGTGCTTTAGTTTTTTCTTGAATGTATGGTTCTTTAGAGAAATATGGAAACTGTGAATAGTAGCCAAACCTTTGTATTTGATATTTGAGTCACGACAAGCATGTTTACTGAACATCTATATGCATTTTGTTCATCAAATATGAGTTCTAGCAGTGTTAACTGTATGAGAGAACTTAGTCCGGCTTATTATTTATACAGTTTCAATCAAAGAGAACTAAGGCGGTGCTTATTGCTTAATAATTGTTTTTCTTTGCAACATATTTTGAAACAAAAAATACTCCATTGTAAAACAGTAAAATATTTTTGTGCACCCAGCCGAATTGTGTTATACTATGTTGATCTGGGAATACTAAAGACAAAAAACTGCCAGTAATGACAGGCTTTGATTTTCGTGCTTTCACTCAATTGGCAAACTCTTTAAATTTTACAGGATAATGCAAATGCATTGAAGGCTCAGCTTGATCAGCAAAAGGGTGTGGTTGACAATCTGGTCAACAACACACGGGTGCTCTGCTAAGATGCCTTTGTAGTTGGATTGAATAATTATATACTGAATATATATTACAGAATTTAACATTTTTATGCTTGTATTTCTTTCACAACAGCTTTTGGAGAGCAAGATTCAAGAAGCGAAGTCAAAAAAAGATACACTAAAAGCACGTGCTCAATCTGCTAAGTGGGTTCTCGCTCCTTGTAGCCCTACATTAGTTTTCTATATTTGATGATCATTGTACCATGTCTTGTCTACTTATTATCAACATTCTAGTGGCACATAATTTACTCCTCTTTTCTTTTAGTACATTTTTTGCTAATATTTAATCCACTGACCGTCATTCCTGTAGGACTGCAACCAAAGTATCTGAGATGCTTGGGAATGTGAACACTAGCAGTGCCCTTTCAGCCTTTGAAAGAATGGAGGAAAAAGGTACTCCACTGTCCTCTCCATAGATGTCACTTGGAGAATTGAGAATTGTGGACTAAACACGTAATGATGTGATACCACAAAAGACTATGTTTACAAAAGATTGAAGACTATATATATGTACAAAAAATTGACAACTAGAGACAAACATGTAGTCACCTGCAAGTCTGCAACTTCTGGGGAAAAAATTGTAGTTTTTGCTTTGAGTCACTCACAGCATGTGCTTGCACATGTTTTCCCTAGATTAGATATAACTATGAAGTGGAATGGTTGGCGATAGCTTTTGTTTCTCGTAATAGTTATGACCACGAGATCTCAAGCAGACACTCTTAACCAGTTAACATAACTATGTAGTGGAATGGTTGACGATAGCTTTTGTTTCTCGTGATAGTTATGACCATGGAATCTCAAGCAGATGCTCTTAACCAGTTAACAAGTGATGAGCTTGAAGGAAAGGTAAGCATCATAATTTTTTTCTGATGCCAATAGTGAACAAAATTGTATACTGATTGTGGACCTTGTGGTTTAGTTATCTCATGGCCTAATTAAACTCTAAAGTATCAGAAGTTGAGGTGAATGCCTCATATAGAACCTGGCTATAATGCTCTGTTATTTTTCATCAAGTCTGTCGATAAAGTTTTCTTATAGTTTCTCTTTGCTATCATTAATAGTCTGTTGAACCTTTTTCTGGATTATGTCTTCGCTTCTATGTTTTTATCTCCTACAGTTTGCGATGTTGGAGAGCTCTTCAGTTGACAGTGATCTTGATGAACTAAAAAAAGAATTGGGTGGAAAATCAAAGGTAACTTTTTCCTTTGGAAATGGATATTGTGAAACAAAATAGTGCCACATATTCCTTACTTCAAATGGAAATGGCAAAGTATTTTGGGACAGCCGAAAAAGGAAATTTGGCCAAGTTTTATGGGACGGAGGGAGCATTATTCTATCATGTTCTACTTTTGTATTTGAGAGGGAAGTGGGTTTCGGGTGCTGGGCTTCTAAGAGAAGAACATGTCTATAGATACCATTGGAAGGAATCTTTTGTACATGCACTTTTACCATATTTACCAGTTCTTCAAATATTTCAGCATTTGTTAGAGAAAGAATCAAACTAGGTAGTGCAGTCTCAATTAAAAATAAAAATGTCTTCCTCTACTGAGTACTGGGTACTTAGATAGTAGGAGTGTGACTTTTTCCTTTTGATTGACTTCTTTAAGAATTATTTCTTGTTGACGAGAGCTATATTTCCATTTGATAAATAGAAAGGTGAGCTTCCGCCTGGCAGAACGCCCATTACCAGCACAAGGTCATTGCAGTTTCAGGATGCTGACATTGAGAAAGAACTGAATGAACTAAGGAGGAGGGCTAGTGATTTATAGGTATCATGGACGATCATGAGTCATTTTTTTCACTTTCGTACAATTCCAATATATATGAATTAAGTGCAACAAGGAATTGCCATTGAAGAGGCAGGCCTGGTTAGAGGACATTAGAAGAGTGATAGCGTGACCGGTCTTGATATATTATTTTACCTGCTTGTATGGATTATAGCTCACACTTGGACGTCCATATGTGAGTTATTCTACCGTTGCATATGAAATTGATTGCCTAGAATCAAACTTCCCAAAGAGCGAAGGTTTTGTATTACGGCTTTATTATCTTCTCTATCATTTTGTATTGAGACTGAATATAAACTATTTTTCTCTCGTCTCAATATTTGGCAGTCTATCCTGGATTTATACTTCATATAAACCGTTTGTTATTTCATTTTTGCAAAAAATGAAAATGAATATGTTTTCCTTTGAAAAAAAAACCTTTGTGAGTTTGTGGCTGTTGGACTTTGGGGTGGACTGGGCTGGTTTGGGCAGGGATCCGGGCCGGGCTCTGGGTTCCGTTAAAATGAGTCCCGGTATTGGCCCGGTTATATACCGGGACCGGTCCGGGTCGGGCTTCGGGTCGGGTTGGGCTACCCTGTCAGGCTTCGGGTCGGGTTGGGCTACGGGCTACCCTGTCAGGCTTTGGGTTGGGCCTAATAATTTTTTTAGCTAATTCACAAGTGCTACAATATATACTTAATGGGATAATTATATGAAAAATGTATAATAGGATAAATGTATGAATGTATTAATGAATGTAAGTGTGTAAGTAATGGGATAAATTTAAATAATATTAATGAAAGTGTAATTAATAGGATAAATGTATTAATGTATATTAATTAATGGAAGTGTAGGTAATGGGATAAATTTAACTAATATATAATATAATGTTTGTAGTATATAATAATATAATATATACTCCCTCTGTCCCATTTTATAAGATATCTTTACTATTCACTTGGTCAACACAAATCACTCTTAATCTCTTATTTTATAAATAAAAAATTTATGAAATCTGAATTATTTTTTGCAGGTTTTGTAGCGGTTTTAATGTAGTTTCTGAATATGTAATTCTTTTTCTAAAAAGAATTTGAGTGCAGATAGGGATCTGTTTGCTTTATCGTCGGTCAAACATCGTAAACCGAAAAGTATCTTATAATTCGGAACGGAGGGAGTAAGTAACTACTATAAGATGAGCAATATACTTTAATTCAGATACTTAATATATAAGTAGATATAATAATTGTATAACTAGGTTAAATAGATATAATATATATTCATAGGTGTGGAGAGAATAACATCGTGCACACGGTGTTCCGAACCCAATTGGGCATCATTTTATTAATTTAAAAAATAGCAAATAACTTGTCTTCTTCCTGGCCATCTATTCATCTTTTTCATCGACGTGTTTGACCATTTATTCTTCTTTTCAGTCCAGCTATTTGGCCATTTATTCCTCTTCTTACATGTCCAAACTCTTCTTAATCGACTCTTCTAACTTTTCTTCTTATCTGTCCAGTCCCCATCTCCTTCAACCATAACTTGTTACTCTCGAGACATCACCATTTAGCACTTTTCATGCATAAAAAGGGGTAAAAAAACATGGAGGAAGATGATAACTATTTCCAATGATTAATACTCACTTTTCTTATTAATGGTCATTGAATTGCACACAAATTATATCATGGGATCGTTACACCGTGTGCACGGTGTATCAAACTCAAGACATCTTCGTTTTATTAATTAAAAAAACAAATAACTTGTCTTCTTCTTTGGTCATCTATTCATCTTTTTCATCGATTTGTCTGGACATCTATTCTTCTTTTTGGCCCAACTATTTAGCCATTTATACCTCTTCTTACATGTCCAAGCATCTTCTTAATCGACTCTTCTATTTTCTTCTTCTTTTCTGTCCATCTCCTTCAACCATAATTCAATTATGACTGAATATAAATATGATTAATAATCAAAATTCATGATCTCATGTATGAAAAGTGTGGCTCTTCCCGTTTTATAGGCAACACATAGGATGAGGAGAAGTTGTTTAGATATAAGGGATAGAATCTACTCCTTTAGCAAGGTAAAACTTCCACTTCGGTAAATTAATTTAAATTTTGATTTTGATGAATACACATAATTTTTATTAGATTTCTAACTTTCATACGAAGTATATAGTTACATTCTCCGAGATATCAAACTATGTTGTAAAACCATCAAATTGACAAGTGTGAATTATTCATCCTTGTCACTAGGACACCAAGATGTTCCTGATCTTTGTAGTGATCCTTGTAACCTAGTTAGAATAAGTGGCTCAATTTGTTATTGCCACCAAATCTGTAGACTCATCATTTAGGTGACTAATCATCAAGCTCAAACACTATAAATAAGAGTTTGATGAAGCCTTGTAAATTCATTCAGAAATTAAAAGAACTCAGAAATTTCAGAGATTAAGAAGAAGTTATTTAGAGCTTTTTAACAATATATCTATCTCTTAAATCTGTTCTTCATCTTCTTCATTTCACAACACGTTATCAGCACGAATCAGCTCAAACTCTTCAAGAATTCAGCTATCTCCTGCAGGTATTCATGACAATATCAATTACCTTCTTTTACTGTTTAAACCAGAAAATTATTCTGAATTTTAAATAATATCTTCTATCATATACGTATATATTTGGTATTAAATAATATAGATAACATACCTTTGCATGATTGATATCTTCGATCAATTCTGATAAAATAAAATCACCATAATTACTTAGTTATTCTTACAAGAATACTGTAGACAAGTAATAAAGGAGAAGAAAATGATATGAGCGGAGTGTTCCTATAAATTTTTAGTAAGCACGGTGTGGATATTAAAAATTATTTAATATTTTGGACTTAATATTTTATGACGGTCCCTAATATTATTAGACTCATTCAAATGCTACCAGACTATTCTCAATCATATTGGACCTCGTTTGGATGCTACTGGGTCAACGTTGAATTTTACTAGGCTGCTCGTGATAATTGTTGGGCCTTATTTAAAGAGAAATATTAATACGAGTTCATATTGAGAAAAAAAAATTAGTGATTGAATTATTTTGGGTCATTTAAAATACCTACTTAATTCAATTATAAATTAAATCTTTAAAATGGACCGGTCCTATTAATTTTGAGCCCATTATTAAATAATGGCCCGACAAGCATGAGACATGATTCAATTGAAAAAGAGAGCAATGAATCTGGTTAAGAAATCCGTCTGTATGCATGGAAAATGGCTACGAACCTTGTTAAAAAAGGCTGTCCAGATACATCGAACAAGTGCTGATTTTTCTAGCTATTAAAATGCAAGCAAATGGAGCCCAAAGCCCATTTTATCATGGCCCATAAGGTATGGACGAATTTCAGCAACCCTAGGTCATATTTTCACCCCCTCCACACCTATAAATAGAGGTCTCAGTTGAGAGAAAGGGAGGAGAACGGCCAGACGAAGAAACGCTGCAGCAAAGCTCTGAAGAACTCCCGAAAGGCTCTGAAGGATTCCGAAGAAGAGGAAGAGATCAAGCCACGTTTTTGTCAAGAATATATGAATAATCCTTTGTGATTTCATCGATTCTTGATCAAACAAAGCCAAAAGTTGAAGAACGTTCGAAGATCTGAAGAACGAAGCTTGAAGATTCGAAGATCTGAAGAACGAAGCTTTGAAGATTCGAAGATATGAAGAACGAATCTTTGAAGATTTGAAGATATTCATATGAAGATTGAATCAATATTCAATTGAAGATCAAGCCATATATCCCGGGAAGCCCTTTAACAGAAGATCAAGCCACATAACGGCCCTTTTGTTGAAGATCAAGCTACTTGAAACCGGAGGCCCTTCAATATTGAATTTTGCATTCAAGAAGATTTGAAGATCTGAAGAACGAAGTTCGAAGATTCGAAGATCTCAAGAACGAAGATTCGAAGAATCGAAAAACGTTCGAGTTTTTGAAGAATTAGAGATTTAATTTTAAATTAAATTCTTTAATTATATTCATATCAAATTGCAAGTGAAGAATCAGAGGATTCATATTTAGAGATTGTACCCGATATTCTCACATATTATTATTTGCGATCAATTTTAAGTAAATACTTAAAATTTGTTTCACAAAGTTTTGGCACGCCCGGTGGGACAACTCTACCTCTCATCTCTTCACTTTTAATCAAGGAAAACGAAACAATGGCCTCAAGCAAGCCCGTGTTCACTTTGAATTCTCGAGCATCGTCAATCTCAAATCAAAACATGCAAGGCCCTATTACTAGGAGCCGATCAAGAATCCTGGCTACGCAGTCATCTTCGGGAACTACTCCCGATGCAATGGATGGATCTCGAATTGCGCAAGAAATGACCTGGAAGCTTTCTTCACCCATAAGTGAAGTTACTTCCCCGAAGTGGACAAGCGGAGGTGAAAGCTCATCATCTGGATCAGACTCTACTCCCCCGTCAAGTCCTCTACGAAGAACTACTCCGCAGTGGTCAAATGTCTATACTGTGATGCCCACCATGACAACGAGCACCACATCTATGGAAGAACAGATCGCCCATCTAACTAAAGTCATCGAAGGGATGAGTATGTTCATGCAAGCTCAAGACCAAAAGTTGAGTGATCTGAACAACAAAGTAGAAAGCTTGAAAGGCGAGTCAAGTCATACTCATGAGAAGGATCCCAAAGTGAATGAAGAGAATGATCCTCACCAAGAGGATTCAGGGAAGGATATCTCAATTTCTGGGGGCATGATCTTGATTGATCAACTTAAAGACTTCATCATGGGAACCATAAAGGGGAAGATAGAAGAAGGTCAATCTACTTACTCCTATGTTAAGCCATACACTCAGAGGATCGAGGATCTGAAAATGCCCATTGGTTACCAGCCGCCGAAGTTCATCCAGTTTGATGGGAAGGGAAATCCAAGGCAACATGTAGCCCATTTCGTGGAAACTTGCAATAACGCGGGAACAAGCGGAGATCACCTTGTCAAGCAGTTTGTGCGCTCCCTTAAAGCAAATGCATTTGACTGGTATACTGACTTAGAGCCCGGTTCCATTGATAGTTGGCAAGATATGCAACATGAGTTCTTAAACCGTTTCTATAGCACAAGGAGGGTGGTTAGTTTACTCGAACTAACAACTACTCGCCAATGGAAAGATGAATCTGTGATAGCTTACATTGAGCGTTGGAGGGATCTTGCTCTAAACTGCAAAGAACGAATCTCTACAAGCTCTGCTATCGATATGTGCATTGAAGGAATGCATTGGGAATTGTGCTACATTCTCAAAGGAGTCAATCCAAACACTTTTGATGAGCTAGCAAGCAAAGCTCGTAACATGGAGTTGAGCATTAAGAGCAATAGAAGGAAACCCGTGGGTATGTATCCCGTCAATAATACGATTGAAAAACAAGATACCAAGAATGGGGGCAAGCCCTTTTCTAAGTTTGAAAAGAAAGAAGCAATGGTCACGAAGACTGCACCTGTTAAGATCTTCACTCAAAATTCAAAGCAAGTTCCTAGAGCCGACTTGGAGGCATCAAAACGCGTTAAACCATTTCTAGAAGAGATGTTGGAAAAGAAGTACCCCTTCTTAGACTCTGACGTTCCTCTCATGTTTGAGGAACTGATGAGACTGAATCTTATCAGTTTGCCCGAGTCCAAGCGACCCGAGGAAGCCATAAAAGTCGATGATCCCAAATACTGCAACTATCATCGAATTATAAGTCATCCCACTGAGAAGTGTTGGGTTCTTAAACACAAAATCATGGCACTAGCTCGTGATGGAAAGATTGAGCTCGCCGATTCTGCTGCAAGCACAAACCAAGTTGCCATCACTTTTGGTATGTTTTCTCCATTCATGGTCAAAGATGACTCCAAAGAAGAGAGCAAGAGCTCTCACAAACAAAAACTTCCTTTTACTATCAAAGTGATGGAAAATGACCATCGTTTTAACAAAAGCATGAGAGATGAAGAAAATAATGGCAAAGAAGGTCCATGGATGCTAATAGCTCGAGATAAACAAAAGAAGAACCACAAACCTAAGCCACAACCGAGGAAGGTGGTAAAGAAATGGGTTAGGCAACAACCGATAAACGAGTTGAAGAAAAGGGAGCAAAGGAAAGATCAAGTTCGATTTGAGGTTACGCGAAGGCCGATTACTCTAAACGATTATATGCCAAAGAATATCAAGAACAAGATGACTCAAAATTCGAGTTCTTGCCTTAGCACCCATAAGAAAGAAATTGAGAGTTCGAGTAGATGTTCATCTCCAGTTTCAACTAAGAAAGAAGTGGCTGAAGGACAAAAATCTACCTCTTATGCCACTAATATTATCTTCAAAGATGAAGACCTCATGCTGGGCGCAACCCCGCATAATCGCCCACTCTTCGTCGAAGGATATTCTCGAGGCCAAAGAATTAAGAGAATCATGATCGATCAAGGTTCTGCCGTTAATATTTTGACAGTTCGAGCTATGAAAAACCTTGATATATCAATGGATGAACTCTCTCAAAGCCGCTTGATGATTCAAGGCTTTAATCAAGAAGGGCAAAGGGCGATTGGGATGATAAAGCTTGACCTAGTCATCGATGGATTACAAGCAAGTACTCTGTGTCATGTTATTGATGCCAAAGCTTCATATAATATTTTGTTGGGACGCCCATGGATCCATGAAAATGGTGTAATTCCATCAACTTGGCACCAATGCTTCATGTATGAAGAAAACGGTGTTGTGAAGAAGGTGTTGGCTGATGAGACTCCATTCACAGAAGTCGAGTCCTATTTTGCAGATGCAAAGTTTTATTTAAAGTCTAGATTGAGATATTGAAAACTCCTCGGAGCACATGCAAGGAGGAAGTAAAGAAAAAAGATGATGTTAAGGCATATGATCTCCCCAAGGCGCGTACAAATGAAGGATTTGATCCAAACGCGTATAAACTCCTTGCTAAAGCCGGGTATAATCCTAACGAACAGAAGTTGGGGAAACTCATTCCAGAAGCTGGTGGAGAAGGAACACCGAAGCAAATAAGGTTACAAGGGCATGTTGGATTAGGTTATGTTCAACCTAAACCTATAAATATCCTCATAAATAGAGCTGCAATACATCATATTAGTGTCGATGAAGATAATGAAGTGACTTCCAAACTAAAGTGCTCTGTCTTTGATCAGATTGAGGGGGCCAAATCAAGGCCCGCCATCTTTGATAGATTGGGTTTGAAGCCAAAGAAAGTTATGAAGAACACTTTGCAAGATCGTCTTGGAACGAGCCTAATGATGATAAAGCATGCTGAAGACCCATGCATGGGACAAAACTTTGAAAGGAAGTCCATACATGAAACATTGGGATTAAAACATGAATGCAATACATCTGCTAAAGTTCCTCTCGAAAAGCAAAGTCTTAATGAGTATAGAAGTTCTATCCCATCTCGTATGAAGCGAGAAACTGATGTGAAAGTGACCTATGAAAGTGCACTTAAAGTCAAGCCAGTGACCATTGTGCACACCCGTGGTCAATATGAAGACCAATATGAAGATTTAATACCCTTGATGTCGGGGTATAAATATGTCAAATGAAACGTTGAATTCCTTAAACCACCAATGATGTTGTAAGTGGCTAAACTGCTAAAACATCTCACTTTGTCTATGGGTGAGCATAATCATAGATACTCTTGGCCCACAAGAGTTTAAAATGTGTACGGCAAGCTCCTGGCCCGCATGAGTTAAAACTGTGTACGGAACCCCACCCTCTTTAAATTACCTATTCAAATGGTATTGTGAACTACATTTGACTTGATCTCCTTCAGAGGAGTACGTAGGCAGCTCAAAAGTTTCAATTTTGAGTTCAGTTATAACAAAATAAATCCCAATTACGTCATTTCGTCAGAGAGAATATCAGAAGAAGGCTTACGAAAAAAGACAGATGAATGGTGAAGGCTTGAGAAATACTTTGGTCTCCTCCTCACCAGAAGTTGATTGAGCAGAACTTCAAATGATGTCTCCACAACGACACCATCGTGTCAATAACACATCACGAGCAACTGCGACTCCTCAGCCTCGGTGTCTTAAATATTTTAAGTAAATACTTAAGATTTTAACTTCTCCCTTTGAATTGCGAGCGACGATCCGCCTCCTAAATTTTTGACGGGATCGACAAGTGCAATGATCGCCGGTTCTTATCACGTGCAACGCCTAAAATCGCCAGAAATCGACGTCAAAAGCACGCTGTCGCAGCTCTGGAAGAATTCTACTCAGCTACTCCCTTCTAAAGCTTTGAATCGGCAATGTCATATTCTTCACAAGGACAAAGGGCAACACCATCGTTTGAAACCGGCAAAACTGGTAAGACATCTACAAGCTCCTGCCTGACTGCTTCATGCTCCTGCCGAACAGCTACAAGCTCCTGCCAGACAGCTACAAGCTCGGGATAGACCGCTACAAGCTCCTACCGGACCGCTGCAAGCTCCTATCGCTACAAGCCCATGCCGCTTCAAGCTCTAGCAAGACCGCTTCAAGCTCCGACAAAATAGCCGGTCTTCAAACCGACGAAGTGGCCGGTCTTCGCACTGACAAAATAGCCGATCTTCAAATCGATGGTCGTCAATCGACTTAGCTCCTTCCTCTTCAACGAATGGAATAGCGAAACCTCAAGTTCTCTGCCAAGTGGAAAGCTAATGCATGAAATAGCCACGATTTGTTTGTCCCTGCATTTAAAAAAGGGCAAAAGAAAAACAAAATACAAAAAAGGACCCAAATTTCCTAAAAAGGACCGCATCTTTTCTTACTGAGCTAAACAAGCTTCCAGAGTCCACACTCTCGATTTCCTGCAAATGTATAGCAACAAAAAAGGCATTGTTTTTTTAAAAGGAGTAAAAAAAATGCTCAAAAAGGAATAAAAATCCTATGCATCCAAAATTGGGTCTCCTTATGATTTAAAAAAAAAAACAGGTCAATTTGAAATAGTCCAAGTCTTAAAAAGGGAGAAGGAAAATTTTGGTCAGGATCAGAATGGTTAATAAAATCAAGCCTGCCAGCATCAATTTCCCTAGTCATCTTCACGCTAGGCAATATGCAGAAAAGAAAAGTCTGCTGCGGTTTCTCCTCCTCGCCAGAAATCAGCTTCGAGCTCAGCCTGGATTTCTCTTTCGATCGGAGAACAGTATCAGCGACCAGATTCATCCTCCGACGAGCGGAATCAGTAATCTACAAGCTTCCTCCTCCTCAAATCGGCTGCAGCTTCATCCTCTGGCGAACGGACGAAGTAAAATCGGAGAGAAAAATCCACTCTCCGGCTAGCAGCGCCGACCACCGACCTCTGACAGAGAACAGCTCCAGCAACAAAATCAGCACCGTCATCTTCTCCAGCACAGCCTCATCTACCAACGGCACGAACCTCAGGCGCAGCTTCAGCCTCTAGCAGGTAGCAACATCAGCAACGTCGACTCCAGGGTCGAAATAGCAACAGAAAATACTTCCACAGCCTGGCACGAAACCAGCAATTGATCAATCAAGCCCAAATGGTTTTCCGGCAATCTCCTTCTTCTAGTAGCATAAACCAGCAACGACGGTAGCCCCTCTCCATGAGCTTTCGATCTGCCTCTTCAATTTTCGACGGGATCAGCTAGTGTAATGGCCGCCGGTCCTGTACCACGGATGATGCCCAGAATCACCGGAAATCAACCTGAAAGACCACATCGATTTGAAATCTGACGGCTCCAGTGGCAGCAATTTCTTCTCTCTATCTGCCAGTATGACCAGAATTTTCTAGTTGCGGTTATCATGGCCTCAAGGTTTTGGTCCCTTTGTTGCAAATATATCTTCTTTATGATGACTGAAAGGTCCCTGCAAAAAGAGAAAAGAACAAGAGGAAAACAGAGGTGTTAAGTATACATAAACTCACCTTAATTGATTTGGTCTTCTTCGTCGATCAAAACTACCTGTGTGAAGGAAGATCCTGATATCTCTATTCATAAGAGTTTTGGGAAATTAAAGTTTGAGTAGGACACATATACGAAGACACTTCTAGATATGCAAGGTTGTGTCCTAGTTGAATGCCATCAGCCAGTGTTACTCGATTAAGGGTTTTTGTTATGACCTCTCACTTGTTATTACGGAGTAATTGATTGGTGGACTTTGATTTGGTATTGGAGGCTTAACGAATAACGGAGTATAATACTGATGGACTATTTCAAGCTATCAAGCATATCATTACGTTGGTTCAGTTTACTCACCCCTAGAGAAGAAGAAACCCTGCTGCAGGGTCCTACTTTCCAACGCAGATTTGGAAGCCTTCCTCAACTCCGATCGTCGCGATCTACACCATTCCAGAATCCTTGTTTTAAGATCTTTCTCTGGACACCTCACACGCCTGATTTGAACGAGTGAAGCTCAAGATATGGGCTGAACAATCAACCCTACGCACAGTGACGAAAACTGCGAACTGCTCTCTCCTTTCTCTCTTTCTTTGTTCTGATCGGTTCTCTTCTCTTAGAAGCCAAGTAAATTCGAATGGGGGTACTAAGGCTGACCCTTAGGCCTCCCAAAAGGTTATTCCTTTTGTGTGGAGTGGGTTGAGTGAGGTGTGGATGATTCTCCACCAAGTCTTACTAAATAAGTACAAATGGGGTCCAACCCTTATCATTTTATTCTCTACACAACCCCACTCCATCATGGTCCGCCCCAAAAGTCAACACACCATATTCTCTTTGTCTTGTAAGTGCCAAGGAGGTGTGGGACGCACCCCCTTCGGTCCAAGTCAGCCCGGAAGGAAAATCCTTACCGATAATTCCTTACGGAGGAAAATTGAGTGTTATTATTTGTGTCTTCGTAATGTGATTTCTCTCCATATAATATCGGGCTCTTATACTAACCAAGATGGCCCACATCAGTATTTGGAAACTCACTCACGAAACACGGATCCCAACGATAGGTTAACAAACACAAGTTACATCAAACACTACTCGTTTCACACAATGTCAAAGCATGAGTTACATAAGATAACACACGTGTTACACACGGCTGGTAATAACAAGTTCAAAACATCAATTACGAAACTTTCAAATAGTAAATTCGGGTACACACGGGTGCGGTGTCACAAGTTTGGTCCAATCCAGAAGTTTTACGCACGCCGTGCGTAGGGGAACGTAAGACCGTACGTCTGAGGCGAGAAAGCAAGGAAGATACTTCCAGCAACGCACGGCCGTGCGTTGGGGGACGCACGCCGTGCGTTCCATATTTTTACGCGGCTATTCTCCGGACGCACTGGGGGACGCACGCCGTGCGTTTCCCCGTGCGTTGCCCCTGGAATTCTAATTTCGCTCAAATTTCACCCGATTTTTCTATTTAAACAGCCTGTAAACCCTCGTTTTCAAAGGGGGGGCTTAGAGAGAGTGCCTAACACGAATTTTAGAGGGCTTTTCAGCCTTGTTCATCAATCTTTTGAGATTCTTTGTAAGTTCCACCTTTTTAATTAATGACAATTAATTCTTTTTATTCCAATTATATTGATTCTTCAATTATGAATTGTGAGTAGTTTTAATTAGAGATTTGGGATTGATGAAGGGGTTGATCATGATATATGGCTAGATTCTTGATGGGTTAATTGCATGAATGCCGTTTAATTTGTGTTTGAATAAATTAATTGATATCTTTTGTAACCTAGATAGCCACTAGAATTACAATTGCATGTAGAATAAATTAAGAGAGGTCTAATTTATTCTAGGACACATTCACACACACTTAATCGTTCACTAAGAGATTAGTAGCGATTAAGGGGTCGTAAGCTCGCTCGTCTTGGCAATAATTTAGGATCCTGTCGCATGAGAGATCAGCCTGGTCCCCTAAATTATTGTACTCTACGCCGCGAGAGCGGTAAGAACTTAGTAGTGATTAGCTAGGCTCAATTAAATTAATTTCATGTAATTAAGCCTGATCTGCCAGAAATCTGGTTACCCCGGAATCAATCCTTGTTCCCTTCGTCATTAATTAGAAAGAACCCCCTAGTTTAATCGTTTTATTCACAGTTTTATTTTCCAAACCAACCAATCTCGCGCGACGCTTTTATTTTATTTTCTTTTTAATCGCTGAATTTAATTAATTCTTGATTCCCTTTTGTCCGTCTCTGTGGAGACGATACTCGTACTTACACCACTATATTACAATCTATTATAAGTGCGAGAAAAATCACATCAACGCACATTTTGCTTCTCTACCACCGTAACACGGCAAGTCCACGGGCGGGTTTCTGGTGTGATAGACACTATAGGAAGTTGAACTGCCATTGTTTCACTAGTTCCCTGCAGCGAACAGAAAAGTAATTAGACTACAATAGGTAAGCAATGTAAGTGAGTGGAACCCCCCCCCCCCTCCAAAAAAAACACAAGGGGAAAACAAAACGTAGTTAATGAAAGGCAATATTTCTTCGAATACAACGTTGGGGGTTGTATAGGCCAGCACTGGGTTGGGGTCATCAGGACAAATGATAATTTTAATGGAATCGGCATTGCGAGCCCTTGACATTGCAACATAAAGCTGCCCGTGGGAAAAAACAGGCTCTTTCAAATATATGCCGACGAAGGCAAGCGTTTGTCCTTGAGACTTGTTAATTGTCATCGCAAAGCAAACCTTAACAAGAAATTGTGTGCGCTTAAATGGAATACGGCAATTATCATCTCTTGAAACTTCAAGGGGGATTTTAGGAATGAACACATGTTTTCCCCTGTGGTCTCCCGCAGCGATGTAGCAGCTCAGAATGTGATCCCCAAACGAATCACAAATCAAATGGGTTCCATTGCATAAGCCTTCACATGGATTTAGATTGCGAAGCAACATGATTGGGCAATTATGTTTCAAGGTCAGTTTATGTGGGGGCAGTCCAGTTGGGGACAGAGTGTGCAAATAATCTGTACAATGCGACTTTTTTGAGTCAATAGGAATATCATGACTAAGGAACGTGTGCTCTTCACCTGGGAATTTGCGCATCAAAGATGAATTGATAAAATCCACGATGTCATTTTTTGTTGTCAGTATTGCGCGGGACATCAAAGCATAAGGGTCACTTTCAAACATGCATAGGTCTGGGTACACAGCAGAAAAGAGCAAATCCAGAGAGTCAGTTTCATTGGTCCATGGAAGCAGAAATTTGGAAGGGATTTTGATCCTTCCTGAAGATATAGTGGGTTCAGTTCCATTGCCAATTCGCAGCAGGTAGTCGCAAAAACCAGGGTCTTCATGTGCACGCATATTCAGAACAAGGCGCAATCGGCGAACGTGTGGCCATATTGTCACTGATCTAAGTAGACAAGCATTAACAAAATCATGTCTTGTGCCTGAACGCACAACCGGCAGTGTCTGCCTGAAATCACCGCCAAACACCATAACTCGACCGCCGAAAAGAGCGTTTACATCGAGTATGTCTCTCATGGTGGTATCTAAGCTTTCAACAAGCAAGCGATTCGCCATGGATGCCTCATCCCACAAAATAAGATGCGCCTCCCACAAAATAAGGCGCGCTTCAGAAGTCTGCTTGCCAATATTGCAAATGTACTTTGATTCCCCATCAAGAGGCAATTTGAACCGTGAGTGGGCAGTGCGCCCTCCAGGAAGGATTGACGCAGCGATACCCGAACTCGCGGTCGCAAGAGCTATCCATTTGTTTGTTCTGGTCGCAACAAGCAAACATCTGTATCAGAAGCTTTTTCCCAGTCCCCCCAGGGCCATCAATGAAGAAAACACCTCCTTCACAAGCATGTACTGCAGCCATTATTGAGTCAAATGTGGTCTGCTGTTGCTCATTCAGCGTTGAAATACCATTCAGGTCTGCATGACTCACAATGATATTTTGTTCCGCCAACACCTCGCGCGTACCCCCTTCTGCTAAAGTTTCATGTAGTTCAACATCCACCAAATTAAAAGAATCAATATCCTTACCCATTTCAGCAAAGAGATCATGCAATAACATGAGGCCAGCTGTCTCAGCAGCCGGGATTGATTGAAACCGGGAAAGGTCCTCACACAGATGGACTTTGTATTCTTCCCAAAGGGACCGTGGGTTCGAAACATCTGAAAAGCACAAATGTGTGGCAAATAATTTGCGGAGGCTGGATGGCAACTGGAACAAGACTGCCTCATCAAGGGATGCCCGAATGATAAAATCACCTGACAGTAGGCCAAGTCGTTTAGCTGTAGCTCTGTACGTCGGCATTTCATCAGGACCTACCCTTCTGAGGTTGACAAATGACGTCGGTCCTCGTACATTGGAAAGCAAGAGACGGAGATAATAGCGCTCCCCTTCTACGGGATTGACAGAGACAAGACGACCGATGACATCCCTTTGTTTGCGCTGAGTCCATTCCTTACGCCGGGCATTCCAGACAAAGTAATGTGGGAATTCAACATAAAGAAGGTGTGTGTTTTTTGCAACCTGATTAGTTTGGTTCATGGTAAAGAATTGAGTCAGCATTGTCTTCATTGAATCAGCAGCCTGCGTGATATACGTAATGCACTGGTTGCCATAAAGGGTAAGGTATTGAGAATTTTCCAAGTGCACTTGCAGCTGAAGAACAGCAGGGCGCATTTCTGAGATTGGAAAGCCGAATATACGCCACGCTGCCTCAGGTGTAGAAACCCAACGGGCTTTCTGAAAATCAGAAATTTCATCAATGACCCCATCTTCCCTTGTTTCTAACAGCGACATGCTGATCCTATCATGCCCCTGTAGACGTATTTGTATATGTATTTAACTGAGCGCACGCTCGCACAAGCTTCTCCATTGATGAGGCAATCGTACTTGCGTAACAAGCGGGCATTGTAAGGCACAACCCAACGGCTATCAAGGCAATGTTTCCTCACCTGGACAGTAACTCCCGTATCACGATGCTTATATACAGGGAAGCAGTTTTCGTCAAACATAGTGGCTTCAGAAAAGTTGAATGGAAATTTGCTTCTGCATTCAGGAGTGGTCGAGCCACGTGCCAAAACCATGCAAGGACATTGCGGGTTCATCTCGCCGCATGGTCCGTGGATCATATGTTTCTTCACAAGTTGATACATGTCGGGATCCATAGCAGGGTCTGGCAATTCAGCATTAATCATTTTATCACAACGGGAAGCGTTTGATATTTTGCATTCTCTGGCGAGTATAAGCAGGAAGTGTGCATGAGGCAGGCCTCTCTTTTGGAATTCTATGACATATGTGTACGCGACCACCTTGCCAAACAAAGCCCCTTTGATAATATCTTTTTTGAACTCTTCTAGCCGGGCCCGGAACACACGAGAAACCAAGTCAGGCTGATTTTGGGTTTCATCAACAAAGGCCAGACGTTCTTTGATCTCAGGCCAGTTGGGGTTGCAGGTAATGGTAATGAACAAATCTGGCTTACCGTAATTCTGGACAAGTGCCATTGCATCCATGTACCGACCGCGCATGTCATGCGGACCGCCGATGAATGAACCAGGTAGCATCACACGACGACCAGCATCATTAGTGTTGTCTATACTTGCGCCAACACT